CCTAAATTAAATATACTTTAATTTTCCTATATAAAATTTAGATGGGATAAAATGTGCATGATTCCGAATCATGCGCACGCATGAAACCCATCTCTAGTGGACAGACAAAAATTGGCTATGACCTGAACCTAGAAGTCCTCCGCTTCGCTCCGGACAATAAGGTAAACCAATTATTATTATTAATTTTCGCAAGTTACACATGTAAACGTAAAAATGTAATTTTGCATAATACAATCCTAGGCGTAGAATTCTTGCTTGTATACGTAGTGCATATAAAAATGGGAATTTTGTAATTTTTAGTAGCGGCAGCCCAAATATATATTTATAGCTAAAAAAAAAAAAAATTTAAAAGGCGGCAATAGTAATTTTTCTCCCATAATAACCAATTACTTTGTACATAATTAACAACACGACGTTTGAATCTATCATTAAATGTTTTCGGAAATTTGATATCTTGGGTTTAAAAAAAGAAAAGAAAATATGACTCTTAATATGGTGTGAGACCGGAAAACGTGACCTGACGGCAGGCACGTGACCGCATGACTCGGTAAATCTTAATTTGGTTTCCCACCCGGAAAATTCTTGAGAATGTAAATAATGCAATTAATAATTATAAACAAAGGCCTTTTCGGCCCTTGGGAAAAACAACTTACACCTTTGCTTTATTAAATCACTTAATCATACAAATACTTTTCATAAATATCATACACTCATAAAACTCATCTATCAAACCTAACGCTTGATAGACACTCTCGTTACGATCGACTACCGAAATTATAAAAATACGAGTTTTGTCCCAAGACCCTACATAACCGCTCGTCCAAATCCAACACGCCTTTTTCGATACATTATAACCTGAACTTTGGTTACACAACGCTCTTATTGATTAAGCAACAGACTCGCCGATATTCGGGTCTGACAATGGAAACTACAAATGAAAATATAACATTTTATAAGGAAATTGCAAATAAAAATGAGACGTTTTATAAGGGAACTGCGAATTATTTTTATTCATCATCATGGAACTGGTTCGAGGCTTGGAATGGAGGGTGGTGGGAGGATATATATAGAGCAAATGATGGTTATTTATATGATTATATGTTAAATTACGATTCTGATGAACGGAAAGAAAAATACGGAGTTTGTTCTGTTTGTAAAATGTTTAATACAAGTTATAAATGGTGTAAGTCTTGTGACTCTAAATTACTATCTCAAAGTTGGACTAGCTGTGGTAATAAAGAATTAGATGAAATAATTAGAGATAGTCAGCTTAAAGCAAAAGGATTTAACAGTTTACATTATCTTGAATGGATACCTTATGATCAACTTGAAATTGATAAACAAATAGGAGAAGGTGGTTTTGCAACCATATATAGAGGTTACTGGTTGGATGGGTTAAAGAATATTATAAACGCCGAACGACGTTACTATAAAAAATGTCCTGTGGCGCTAAAAAAAATGAAAGAAAATTCACTAAAGGCTTTTGAAGAGATTTTAGAAGAACTTAAAAAATATTTAATTTTTAAGAATTACTTCTATTGGTATGACCCAAGCGTTGTTAATATATTTGGTATTTCACAAGACCCTGATACACAAAATTATATTATGGTAATGGAATATGCTTATGGGGAAAGCCTTAAAGAATTTATAAACCAACAAAACAAATGTTATTTGAGTTGTAAGACAATATATAATATTATTCACGATATTATAATTAGTTTAAAGGATATTCATGAAAAAGGATTTTGCCATGGTAATTTACATAGTGGTAATATTTTAGTATTCGGAAAGGCGAATCAGCGGGTATTTAGAATTGCAGATTTAGGGTTATCAAGGCATGTCGAGAAAAATTCGGAACTAAAAGGCGTTTATGGAGTATTACCGTATGTAGCACCAGAGGTATTATCAAATAAACCATATACACAAGAGTCAGATATTTATAGCTTTGGAGTCATTATGTCAGAGTTATCAACTGGAAGAAGACCTTTTGATGGTTACGAATTTAATAAAGGTCTTGCAGTACAGATTTTTTCAGGATTGCGGCCTAAATTTGCTGATGGAACAGCCAAATGTTATATCAAATTGGCTGAACAATGCATGCATCAAAATCCAAAAGAACGACCTAATGCGAAAGATATTCTTTTGGAGCTTAATAGTTGGAGTAGATTTTTTGAAGCTGATGAACGACAATTTTTGGAAGATGCTGAAACAACTAAACATCCGAACCAAATGTACACAAGCAAATTTATAGACACGCAAGCAATTACCAAATAATTGACCTTATAAATTCCTAAGTAATTATCGTTTTTTCTGTAGTTAAATATGTATGCGAGGTTATTTTAAATGGGTTTCACAAAAATATACCGTATTTTGTGGAGTAAAATAAGAAAATATTTAATTACTATACAGTATACTAAGGGGTACTGTAATAGAAACGGGTACAATACTACAGAGGTACTATATAATCGATCATATTATAAACCGCGCATAGAAATAGGGGTATTATGCTAAGGGTATTTTACTCCACAAAATACGGTAATATGTAATCTTTGATATAAGAAAGGTGAGCAGATACGTACATAATAAAAATTATACAAAGTTTTCTTATATTGAGCGATTATTAATAACTACTGTTGAACCTCCCAAAATCGAACCTCTTAAAACTGATAACCTGCTAGATCTGATAAAAAATTAGTCTATAAATTCTAATAGTTTATAATGTTTTCAAATCTGATAACCTCTCAATGCTGGTATTGTCAAAACTGATAACCTGTCAGATCTGATAAAAATTAGTCTACCAAGTCCGTTTCCGTTATATAAATCTAATAGTTTATAATGTTTTCAAGTCTGATAACCTCTCAATACTGATAGAAAATCTGTCCACCATGCATATCGATTTGGGGAGGTTCGACAATAATTTACGTGTCAATAAAATCAAATACACGTACGTATATCAATTTATATAATTCACATTTGAGATTCAATGTGGGACAAAAAATGAATAACAAAAAAATTTATTCCAATCATGACAAAGATAATTTTCCTATTACGAAAATAAATACAAGTTCATTGTTCATGTCAAACACAGATCTAGAAGTTTGAAATTCATTAAAGTTGAAAAAAATATTTACCTGGTCAAAAAGAAATAATTGTTGTAACTAATAGGTTTTTTAAAAATGCTGTGAAAACTGCAAACATTATTTGATGAATCATTGATCACGTAAAAATTGAAATAGACTTTTTAAAATTTTTTGAAAATGAAGTAACATCAATTTGATGTAAATAATTAGATTTCTTTTAACTGTATGTTCTTTTTTTTTTCGATTTTGTATGTTAAGTCATACATATTCTTTTAACCTATTCATATTTAAAGACAAAGATCTTGTATTGTTTCTTATCAATTGTAATTAGTATTTATTTGTTCCAATCGCAGATACAATTTATTATTAGGGGACGTCCATAATTTACGTTAAACCGGCATTGTTAAAGATAATACAAAATAATACTATATGGAATTATCTTCAAGGTCTCTATTTTTATACAATACTGTACTGGTTTAACGTAAATTATGGATGTCCCCTTATTATCATTATTATTTTATATTATAAATCTAAGAATTGAAATAAATACGCAAAATCTTTTATCTCTGAAGTTATTTAGAATCCGAAGTACCAAAAATTGAAGAGTAAAAAGAAGAAAATTAAAAAATTTAGTTATGATATAAAAAAACTCCCCGCTATAGAATAATTATTAAAAAATCATTTTTTATCATAAACAAGTATAATTTTCTATTTGATATGTTTATTTAGAAAAGGTAAGTCATGATACAATTGCAAAAATTAATTAGATAACATTCTTACACAGTTGCAAAAATGTATAGTTATTGTAATACTTCATTGTATATAGTTTGCAGGTTCTTGATAAAGTCTCTTTGCTAACAAAATCTCACCTTTAGCGTTATCTATCGCTATGTTTATATCAACCCATTTGAATTGGTTTAAATTCATGTTGATTGTGATATTAACAAGGGATTATATTAAAGTTGATATACAGTATATGAGGGAATTTTAATATACTGTATAAAAATTTGTAAAAATTCATCTTATGGTTTAGTTGATAGACTGTATTTCGGGAACTGAGTTACAATGGCACAAATAATTTCTATATATTGTTACGGGTTCCCCGCAATATTTTAACTGAGGCTTGGATTATGCATCGTCGATTCTCCAAATTTGGTGCTGAAGAGAAACTTTGGAATCGAGGAAAATGTCATTAGTATAGTTTCTATTTGGGGCTTGGTATCGCTAATTTTGATTATTCCAAATTTGGTGGTATATATATAGGAACTTGGAAATTATAGTTTCCAAGAAACCGTAATTTTTTATAGAAAACGTAGTTTCATATAAAATGTAATTTATATAAAATGTAATTTCATAGAAAATGTAGTTCAAGTCCCGGGTTCTTCATAATAGTTAGACATGTATATAAGGTCCTTGAAAGAAAATGAACGTTAGTATAAACAATGACACGATGAACGGTTATGCAATGCTGGTAATTGTTAAATAAAAGTGGATAAATAAATAGATAAATGAATAAAAGATAGAGAAATAAATAAATAACGATTCTAACAAAAGACCTAACTAAAAGTATAAAATGAGAAATCGAATACGTAAAACCACAATCAAGTCTAAAGGCAGAAATGGAGGTATAAATATGTTACACGTTTAGTCGTTAACGATATTCACTAAACTGACCGTTCTGAGTCTAATAGTATTCTATTCTAATGCTACTCAATGAGAATTATCACGAGATGATCACAAATTCAAAGGATCAGATTTGGGTTATCCGACGTTACTCTAATAGATCAGCGTGAAATGATTCTGACAATCACATGCTAAATATGTACATTAAATTCTAATATTACAGTATTAACTTAAGCTGTGCCAAAGCCCATATATTTCCCCTATCGATGGTAACAATACGTAAAGTACATACTATTTCTGTATTTAGAGATGTTATTTAGAGATGTTATTTAGAGATGTTTTACAACGACAAGCGCGGAATTTAGTCCTGGTCTTGCCAAGATCTGGTTTTAGCTTGTTAATATATAACATAAGCAGAGATGTTTGTGAATAATTAAATAAAATTTCACAAATTAATATCAATTCATTGATAATGGTAAAACTTTTTTACCATTTTAGATAGTTTTATTTAATCGACATCTTTATTACGTAAGAAAGCCGAGACTATATTTCGCATGTAGAAGTTTATTTACCATCCCTTTCATAAATTTATTAGGTTATCTCTTTTTTTTTTCATTCAAATATGAAATTGGCATCAAAAATTAATTCATTATCTCGTTTAAAACTTATTAAACTTGCAAAATTCTTGTCAATTCTTACGATTTTATGGAATGTAATTGAAGGGTTAGCCTCGGTTTTTTTCGGTGCACAACATGATTCAGTCAGTTTATTTTATTTTGGTTTTAGTTCCTTCATTGAAATTGCATATTCATGTACGGTGTTATGGAGATTTTTGAAAGAGTCAGCTTCTCGTAAAAAATTTTCTACCAAAAAGTTAATAGTTATTGAAAGAAGGGCAACAATTATAATCGGTATATTGTTTATTTTACTTGCCATTGAAACAATTGCGGCCGCAATTTATACTTTAGTAAAAAAAGGAAGACCTGATACAGCTTTTGCGGGTTTAGGCATTTCATCTATTTCAATCCTTTTTTTGTCTTTTCTTTGGTATTTAAAATTATTAGTTGCTAAACGACTTAATTCTTCAACAATGATGTCTGATGCTAAATGTACTCTATCATGGATTAAAATTACCCTTGTTATATTTTTTGGTAGCTTTATCTACGCTATTTGGAGAGGTGGTTGGTGGATAGATTCTACTTCTGCTTTAGTTTTAGGTTTATTTTTTGCAAAAGGAGGAATACAGATGATTCTTTGGGCGAAGAATAAAGATTTCGATGGTGGTTATTGTAAAAAAAAACGTTTCCGTCAAAAATAATAACCATCATGGGATTATTAATGTTTCTAATGACAAAGATAGTATTCTTACAATGCCATCTGAAGATAATATCACAATATCATCGGAAAAATTTATTGAAGATAATATCACTTTATCATCTGAAAAAATTGCTGAAGATAATGTCACAATATCATCTAGTTATGGGATTATTAAAGATTCTAGCGACAAAGATGATAATATCACAATATCATCTGAAATAATAGCTGAAGATAATAGTTATGGGATTATTAATGATTCTAATGATTCTAATAACAAAAATGGTAATATCACAATAACAATATCATCTGAAATAATAGCTGAAGATAATAGTTATGGGATTATTAATGATTATAATAACATAGAAGATAATAACACAATATTATCTGAAAATATAGCTGAAGATAGTGGGATTATTAATGGTTCTAATAAAAAAGATGATGATAACACAATATCATCTGAAAATATAGCTGAAGATAGTGGGATTATTAATGGTTCTAATAACAAAGAAGATGATATCACAATATCATCTGAAAATATAGCTGAAAATATAGCTGAAGATAATGGGATTATCAATGGTTCTAACAACAAAGAAGATGATATCACAATATCATCTGAAAATATAGCTGAAAATATAGCTGAAGATAATGGGACTATTAATGATTCTAATGACAAAGAAGGTAATACCTCAATATCGTCTGAAAAAATTGCTGAAGATAATATTAATTAGGTAGGTTCGTTTAATAATATTCGTGATTCACTTTGCGAAAACCTTTGATTTTGCTAAATATGTTTACAATATAGATACAATATAATTCCAATATTACGAAAATTATTATATAAATATACGTTAACCATTTTATAAAATATTATCATCATATTTTATAAAAATATATTTTTTTTATTCCGTTAGATTACTATTAATTTGATGTAAAATATATTTATACCATATAATTACAATATAGTTTCAATATAATGTTATCTTTTATTATCTAATAACTATCTAATATTTTTAGAATGTAATACGTAGCAATCTGTTTAAAATAATTACCAATACCTTAGAAAGCTTATATAATAAGATGATAACAAGCTACTTAATATTAACAGAATAAAAATTATTTTAATTATATTTTATTATATTATAATTATATAGTAAACATATTTTAGCAAAATAAAAGGGTTTGAAAGCAGATAGAAAGGAAAATATCAATTTCCAAATTCAATAAAGATTTTTTTTTTTTTTGCGGTTTATCATTTATCTTTGATACATGGAAATTTAGCATATCGAAAAAAGTGTTTAAAAGGCCAGGCAAGGTTAATTTTTTGGTTCTCGTAACCCGGCCGGGTCATTGAGTCCGGGAAGAAGAATTTACATTTGGGTGCAGTATTTAAGTTGACCAATCAGAATTGAGCATACTTAATACTGATATTTTGAATTGAAGTAGAAATTCATTAGCAAAAGAAAACCATGCTGACTCATGTTCTTATAAACTTGAATCGGAAGGTGAAAAGGCCTTAGCAACAACTATATCTTGCAAAAGCAAGAGATGAAAAAGGCATTAATAGATGCGCTTACAAGAACACTTTCCTGACTTCTTTGAGTATTATAATATGAACACAGATCAGAAGAATGAAATGCATTAATCGATGCACTTTGTAGAAACAATCCCTAACCATTTGGATATTAAATTCACCTTTTTTTTTAATATCCAGATATTGGTTAAAAAATTGAATTAATATTCGGATAAATTCATTGAATATTCGAATACTTCTAGTGATTTGACATATTATAATTCACATGTTTTTTCATTTAAATTAAAGACCGGATCGATGGAAAAGCATTTAGTAGATTGTGCTTTGAAAAAAGAGCACCATACAACTTTGTGTTCAGATAAGACTAAAATTTATAATCAAATATTTTGTATATAAATTTTCAGAAAATCAAGGTTATAAGAATCATAAATCAGCATAAATAAAAAATTAATAATAGATACATAGATATTTCAAATATTTCGAACCGACTTGAATAAAAGATTGTTCATCAACCAAATCAGCACGGATGATAAACTAATAAAACCAATAAGAAGTGCATACATTACTTTCGAGTACTTTGATTAACAAATTATTTTATACTTTCTGGTTAAATTAACCTAAATAAGTGACTTAATGAGAAATGGCAGATAATTTATAATCTTACCGAGATAGAATAACTTGAACAGCAAAAGGCTAATTTAATATAAATATAAAGAGATGACTTATTTTAAATACATCCACTACTATAATCATCGCCACTAAAACAATGAAATAAGAATAGTGATTTATTTTTCGCAACGGCGGGAATAAGAGGAGGTAAATTCCCGGCTATATGGGGGCCGACGGGCCTTATATAGCCGGAGATTTACCGGCTTATTTCCCCACAGTGAAAATAAGGGTGTAATCTTCATTTGAATGTCATGACGGCGGATCATATAAATTGTAGTAGTGATTTATTTATTATGCATCTTTTATACAATATTGATAACGAGATCAGTATGGTATGTTTTTAAAATAGATATTTACACCTCTTATCATACGAGTGCCGTCAAAGAAAAACCTATCATCGGACTTTCAATTATGTCATCGTGATAAATCAGTAAATGTCTATTATATAACATCATGTTGGAACAGTGAAATTTTTTTGATCGGAGAATGCCACGAAACGGCATTTCCTGAATAATCAAAAAAATTCCAATGTGACGTATCTCAGAATTGGTATTATAGTACGGCGGGCATCGATCATAAATTATACTATTTATGTTTTTTTAAAAAACCTCTTTAATTTAATACAATATAAATATGGATGACGTATGCATTGTGCAAAATGATTTATCGTTATAACGTAATACTCCTGACCGTGCTATAAAATATGCACAAAATCACATGCAAGATCCTCAAAATTCATGCTCACTAGTTTGAATATTTGTTTAGGATGCATTCTCTAATTTAATTTTATAACAAAATTATTATAAAGAATCCGGATATCTGTTAAATTTTAAATAATAAACGGATAACGGATCGCATCTCCAGTTTAGCGGTAGCTTTAATGTAATAAACCGTGTAATAAACTAATAATTTGAATGGCTATAATAATAACGGAAATAATACATAATATATATACAGTATATAATTTATGTTTAATTAGTCTAACAGCCCATACCTACTGTAGTTGGCTTAACCCAAAATAAACAGGAATTCTTATCGTTATAGATTTGACCAAAATTTTTATTATGTATTTCCGGGTCATAGCTTTATAAAAATAAAATTTAAATAAAAACCCGGGTGGGCGGCCATTTTTTTTGTTTTATGTTATAAGATCCAAAAAATTAACTTTATATGGCCTAACTTTAATGCTATTCGAAATTTAAATAGAACACTACGTTCGTGAATTGTAACTATTTACATCTATTCATTTTACCCACTAACTTAAAAATTATATTTTTTTATATGATATTAATAATAACAATAATAAAATTTTAATTTATATTTCTATATACCTAACAATGTTGCAAAATGTTGTATAAGCATAATATATAGTTATTGGATGCAAAGCAGACAAAGATTTAAAGTTTATTATTTAGAGATTATTTGAGATTATTTTGTGTGAATTTTGTTAGTAAAATATTACATTCTCAAAAAGTTCTTTGTAAATAAGTTACCCGAAACCGATAAAATTAATAATTTAACGTCTTTTCAAGAATGGCTTAACCCTTAGCATCTATGACAGGTGATACAAAAATTACATTTCAAAAATCCGTAACTTGGAAATTCCACACACGTGTCTGAATTTGCTTTTTAGTGTTACAAATTACGTTTATTTGTGTTGTAGTTTTAAAACAAACTATATACAGTTTATTTATATGTAGTGTAATTCACAGTACACATACGTTTCTACTTTAGATTAAATTTACCAAAAAATGTTTTAATGACTTTTTAAGAATAAGCATTGCACGCATGTTTCTTATATTTGAATGATCCGGTCTGATATACCCGGGTTGAATTTTATCTGATGAATGCAGATTATATTAGTTGCGAATTATACGTTATTGAAACTGAAACGGGATATGCTCCCAGAAATAGCAAATAATATTGCGCCGGGAGGTACCGTAAGCGGCTTAGCAGGCTGGCCGTCACGTGCTATTAATATTCACAGATATTTGGGTAATTGACTAGCTAATATCGAAAGAGGGTTTTCCTAGTCTATTACCCATTTATGAATTCCTTTGGGAGAGAGGGTTGGGTTGCGAATTGTGGTCTGTCACAGCTGAGTGAGCAATCATTGGCATAAGGCCCAATTGCATTTCCCACAGATTTATCTTAATTCTCATTGCCGCCTTTATTATTAGTGATTACTGCTTGTGAAAAGCCATTCAAATCATACTAGCCTTCTTTGATTATCCGGACCCGGTTGATGGTTCCACGATATGCATCGCCATGCTTAGCATCTTTTCAATCTGTTGACTTTACGTCAACTCAAATGATTTATTACTATTAATCATATTTATCATGAGATGTTACTTAATTTGATGATCGTAAAACATGCTTTAATTAATTAAGCCTCTTGAAAGAATTTCAGCACATTTTCTTAATAATGATAATTTACGTCTTCCTGACCATTCAAAATTAAAATCTTTATCATTTTTAACAATCGAATTTCTCTGAAAATCCTACTCTGAAACATTAGATGTTAAAAGCGACTGCCCATTTGAAATGGTCAAATGGAGCTATTGAAGCAGCACTCAAGAAGTTAAAGCTCTATTATACCAGAAATAATAAACCTATAATGCTGTAACGACCTTGTTATACCCCATACTAAACATTGTGGTCCTATAGGAATTCAGTATGGAAGTAAAATATGAAACTACTATTAAAATTTATATATTAGCTTTAAATTCAATTGTATTTTGCTTTCAGATAGTTTGGTCAGGGGTTGTAACCATCCGAGAAAAACCAGATAATCAAAAAAAATAAGCTTTAAACGTTGTTTATAGTCGACCAACAAATTACCTGGTTGTCAATCATCCACTGCAAAAGGAAATCAAAATTTGAGCCAAACCTACAAAAGAACATAATGCAAGAGAAAAAAAATAGTTACCTGTCGTCAGACCAATTACAAATTCTAATATCTATAAAGGAAAATAATATGTTATACTGTATATTGTGTTTTATAAATTACTTTTTTTCACGCTTTTTCATTTGTTAATTTTCTTCGTTGTAAATGAGCTTTAATCCTTTTCCACTTCAAATTCATTTATATTTGCAAAGAATTTTGTTAAAATGAAAAATTAACAGTTTATCCATTAACAATGATTAACAATGAAAAAGAGTTGGATTCTTTAAAATGTAGATATTAATGAGAAATTAATTAGTTGTAACAGAACAATTAACGTTAAATCCCAAGGCCTAAATATTTTCCACGAGTAAACTTGGAATGAATTAAATTAAACTATACTTGCTTCAATGAGTTTTGTATTTTACTAAGAAACACTTATTTTTTTACATACAGTTAATAATAACAACAACATTATTATCAACATGTAAAAATCATTATGATCTAGATCTTCAGAGAACTTAATTCCTATACAGCCTCCTCACATTTTCCGGATGTGCTAAATTCTAGTTGCTTAATAACTTGATTGATTATATTGTAGTTTATGAAACTGCAATATAACGGTTTGAACATGATTATTCGCAAAAATTACGATATTTTGGCAGTATCACTAGGTATCTATTAATACGTTCAGAATAATCTTGTATTTATTTGTATTGTATACCCGCTCTATGAAAGTTTTGCCTATTATTCACATGACCAATATTATCGCGAAGTACACCGTATTTGGATTTCACAAATTTACATAAAATTGCACATAATTATAATAATTTTTTTCAACTCTTAACATTTTTAATCCGAATAATATAAAAACTTTTTAAAAAAAGTGGAGTTTATTTATATGCAATAGGAAAAAAGTTAGTTTGAATTAAATTAATTATTACTATCGTATAACTTTTCAGCTTGTTCTCGCGCATGCTTTTTTGCTTTTGCTTTATCAACAGCATCAAGACCTTTCGTCTCAATGAGCTTTTCTGCTTCAGCAACAGCAAATGCTACGAATGCCTACGATTATAGAATTAAAAAGAATTTTAATATACCAAAAAAAATGCAAATAAATTCAAGAAATCATTGAATGATGTACCTCTTTAAGAAAAGCATGCTTATCTTTTTGTCCGGTTTGTTCTTGTTTCTTTTTTTCGTGGTGCTTCATCGCTTCAAAAGCAGCAGCACCAGCAATTATTTCATGAGTAAGGTGTCCCTTATGTTTCTTCTCATTGTATATGTCCAAGAGTCCTAAAAAGCAAAAGGCCAGAATTAATAAGTAACAGGATAACTGGAAAAAAAAAACAACAATTACTCACCCATGATTGAGGTTTTCGAAGTTTTAGTAAAGAATATTCGTGAAAGTTTTAAGAGCTTTGAGCAATTTTGAGAAGTTTTATAGGAATTTTTATCAGTTGTCGTCAGAATGACGGACAATAAATTTAATAAAACTTTACCATAACAATCAGTTACTACTAGTTTTGGTGGTAGAATTACCGAATTACGGCATTACGGCATTCTACCATATGGTAGAATTAATTATGGCACAGAATCTAATTGCCATAAATATTAATTATTTATAATATCAGATGTATACCGTAATTAAAATAGTTATGTAACGCAATCACGCCAAACTAGAGGATCGTCTAAAGCCAAGTTGTAATTTATATGCGTCACGTGATTTTTAATTTACAAATTTCTTATATAGTAATCAATTTAAAACTACCTGAACCTCCAAACGAGGAATAGATGAATATAAGGCACTAAAAACCAGGAACTTAATTATCTTTATATACATTCTAATTTTTATAATTTAGGCGCTGGATTTTTAAGTTTTAATTAATAATAAAAAAATTACTATTGATTATTGCTGCATATTCATATATGTAAAATCATAATAAAATTAAACCTTAAAGTCTCAATTTTCATAAATTTAATGATACTGCACTGCATATTATCAAGTAGTTCCTAGTTAATAACTCGGCTAATTGATTAATAATTGTCGTGGCTCATAATGAAATCGGACTAAAATGAAATGAGGGTTCTATTTAACCTTCACTTGTTTAGTATAAATTCTACCCTAAAACTAATCTAATTCTAACCTCCAACTCTATTAATTTTTATTTTTCGATGGATTGCCTATTTTTTCATTGTACATATCCGATTTCATTTTAATCCGTCACAATTATTATTGTTATTAATTCAAGAGGTCCCATCACTAGGCGCGGGTACAAATAATCATAACAATAAGCAAAGTTATATTTTAATTTCTATGCTCTACTACTAAAAATTTCTTTAAACTCCTATTACTTATTTTAACGACATTTTTGCCAAGATGATTTTGCAAATTTACTAAAACATTATATCATATTATTTGATATAAATCAGTGAGTATAATGATAGTTTTTATTAACCAATGTATATTTTAAAAAAAGATTTAAATTTGTAGATATATATTATATTTGCATTATACATTAATCTAGTTCGAGTAAATATATTATTAGATACTATTTTAAGTAACTTCAAGAGATATCCGCTATCTATTATCTGAGTATCCAATCCGAACTTTATTCGGATATCTGATAATTATTCAGATAAATGCTATCTGGATTGGACCACTATCGAACCCCAAACTTAAAATAACAAACCCTAGTGCTCCTATTAAAAAAAAAAAGTAAAAATGAAACTCTGGTGCTTTCACTAAAAAATTGACAAAGCTAAACTATTAATAGAAATAAATTCTGTAAATTTTTATATTACGTCACTTTAGAAAATTGATAATAAATAACATACTATAATTCATGATTCTTATTAACTTCACTTTTTAATCTGATCAATTCACTGACAACCACTTCATAAACACCATATTTCACTGACAATTATTTACTGCCAAATTTATTTTATCAACAGTCTATTTCACCAAAGCTCATTTCATAGACAAGTAATTCTGGTCATTATTATTAGGTTCAGATTAAAGTTAAAATTAGTGTAATTTATAAAAAAACCTTGTTAGTTAAATAAGCTTCAGTTACTTACTAATCGCCTCAACTTTGTCTTATCTAAACATAATATTCCTTCACCATTCAACTTTGTTGCTCTTCCCGGTAACTCTACTTCCATACCCATTCATATTCTTAACAACATAATAAAAGATACAAACTGCAATTCAAACCAACTCTGGCTTCTCTCTCAGGACATGAGTAAAGCCTATGACTCAGTTAACTTTGAATTA